TACAAAATAAGAACGTCTAGATAGAGCATCAGACAAACCTTGTTGTTTTCCTGGCCGATAAGTAATAATGAACTCGAATCTTGACAAAACATACTCCAACGAGCTTGATGATGATTCAACAAGCGTGCTGACATGAAATACTCGAAGTTCTTGTGATCTGTATACACAATGACTGGACTAGAAGCTCCTTCTAGATAATGACGCCATTCTTGAAAGCAATCCACGATCGCAAGAAGTTCTTTATCGTGGATCTCATAATTGATCTCGACTGCTGAGAATTTTCTTGAATGAAAAGCTATCGGATGAAGTTTGTCATCTGATCCCATTTGTGATAAAACTGCACCCAAGGCAAAATTTGATGCATCTGTTTCCATAAAAAATGCGTTAGAGAAGTCAACACGATATAAGACTGGTGTAGAGACAAATGATGTCTTCAAGGCTTCAAATGCTGCTTCCGCTTCTTGATTCTATTGGATTTTATCTTTACTAGTCAAGCGTGTAAGTGGAGCTGTAACTCGTGAGAAATCTTTGATGAAGATCTGATAGTAATTGGCAAATCCCAAGAAACATTGGACATCTCTTATTGTCCTTGGAATCTTCCAATCCATGATTGTTTGGACTTTCTTAGAATCCATCATGAGACCATCATTTGAAATGATGTATCCTAAAAAGTCAACTTGAGTAGTGTGAAATACACACTTTTCCATCTTGGCGTACAATCCTGCATCTCTAAGTTTTTGTAATACTTGACGAACATGTATTTCATGTTCTTCGACGTTCTTAGAATAGATGAGGATATCGTCTAGATAGCAGACGACAAAATTGTCTAAGAATTCACGAAATACATCATTCATGAGATGTTGAAAAGCAGCTGGTGCATTCGTGAGTCCAAAGGGCATGACATTATATTCGAAATGTCCATACCTGGTTCGAAACGCAGTCTTCCATTCATCTCCTTCTTTGATCCGTACTAGATTATATGCTCTTCTTAGATCTATTTTTGTATAGATCTTAGCTTGATTCAACTGGTCAAGGAATCCTGATATCAAAGGTAATGGATACATGTTCTTGATTGTGATCTTGTTGAGTCATCGATAATCAACACACATTCGTAAAGATCCATCTTTTTTCTTTACGAATAGAATTAGAGCTCCTGCTGGAGATTTTGAATGGCTTATGAAATTCTTCGCTAAATTCTCGTCAATATATGTCTTGAGTTCAGCCATCTCATCTTGCGATAAACTGTAAATTACTCGAAATGGTGGCTGAGTTCCTTCCTTGAGGTCGATTGAACAATCATATGGGCGATGCTCAGGAAGAATATCTGCATTCTTTTTCTCAAAAACGTCTTGATACTCCTAATATTGACTTGGAATGCCAATTGAAGTCTTTACGTTTTCAGAAATAGGTGCAGTATAAATAGCAAAAGTTGATCCTTCTTTGCTGCGTGTATAAATGCTTTTGCACCTATCAATACGGGTTTTACTATACTAGACTTATAATTTTTTACTTGGTTGGTAGAACTATTAATAACGCTTTGGAAAAAGTCAAGTTTACGCGAATTCCAATCTATTCGAGGGTTATATTTTTTTAGCCAGGATAAACCTAAAATAACTGGATTGGACGGGGATTTAATTATGTTAAAAGCTATGTAGCTATCATGACCGTCTATTGTTACTTTTATAGGATGAGTTTCATGAGTGACATCTCCAGAAGACAAGAGACGACCATCTATGACTTCTACATGTACTGATTTAGGTTTCTGTACAAAGGGTATTTTACGACTTTTAACAAATTGTTCATCTAAAAAACATGCTGAGGCTCCCGAATCTAATAAAGCAGAGGCTTTGTAATTCTTAGGTCCTAAATATAAGTCTATTATAAAACAAGGAGAGGGTTCTGAGAAGAGGATAGGACCTTCATTAGGAATTGTACAAGGTTCCAGCTGCACGGTCCCTATTGTAGCTGGACGAATCCGTTTTCCAACATGTTGTCTTCTTTGACCGTCGTACCCCTCATTTTATAGTTGCGTCGTTTCTTTGGACAATGTTGAGCAGTGTGCTTAGGTTCTCCGCAATATAAACATAATCCTTCTTGACGACGACGAATCTTTTCTTGCTCAGTTAGGGGTTTAAAACGTACCACGTCAATTTGCATGTCTTCTACTTCTGAATGTACGTTTGGCAAAGATGTTGATGTTGCCATTGAGTAATAATGTTGAGGTTCCCTTGAATGATTCTCGGATCGAAATTCGAAAAGTCGATTATCACATTTTACCGCAAAATCGATTGCTTGACTCAAAGTTTGAGGATCAGGTAAGTTGAGCATCAATTTCTTTACTTCGTATTACAATCCATAAAGAAATTGACTGATGAGTGCAGCATCATCCCACTTGATGTCAATTGCAAGTTGTCAAAATTGTGAAGCATATACTGTTACTGAGCGATTTCTTTGTCGCAGAATTCGAATCTTATTTATTGCAACACGAGTTGCATCGTGTTCACCATACATAGATCGAAACTCCGCCAAAAAAGCTTCCAAATTGTCCAATATTGGATTTTGTTGTTCAAGAAAAGACGAAAACCACGATAATGCAGAACCAGAAAGTAGAGTGCCAATAAACCTGACTTGTGATCCTGGAGTTGGATAGCTTTGCGGTTGAAGTTCAATTGCCAATTGTACTTGATTGATGAACCCTCGAAACTTTGATCTTGTACCATCAAATTTCTCAGGTAAGGCAATTCTTGGTTCTCTAGTGCTTATAGGCTGTTGTACAATTGGAGAAGGAACGTGATTTGTTGTAGATATTGAAGCAGCTTCGATCATCTCTATATCTCCACTTTCTGCTATTCTTGTTCTTTCTTGTGTTGGTGAGTTGAGTTGATGCATCGCAAGCATTAACTCCCTCATTTGCTCTTGCATTTGTGCCATTGCACTCTTCATTTCAACAAGCTCTGCCATAATGACACTAAGAAGAAAAATTTGTTTGATATTGCTCAAGACAAAAGAAAAGAAAGACTTGATAACAAAGAAGATACTAAGAACAATATCAGTTTAGAAGTGGGTAATCCGCAAACTTCTAATACGCTTATGTATTGTGAAGAGAAAGGGGTAATCCACTCTTACTCAAGAAAAAACAAAGCTCTGATATTGTAAGTGTACTCTTGTCAATCTGTCAAGGACAAAGACTCGATGAGGGAAAATATACACCAAAAGGCTATCTCGATATAATAAGTCAAAATATAAACAAGTAGGTATATTAAAAGGAAACTAGAATGGCTATTGCCACAAGACAAGAAACTAAAGACTCTTGAACCTAGACTAGAAACAAGAAAGGAGTTGACAAGAGTGAAGAAGCCTTCACTCTTGTCTCTATGTATACTATCTAACTAGGGGCTACGTGGCGACGTTCTCTAGGACCTCCAATATGTGTTGACTTTGTAGGACACATGCCTTGACTTACAAGGCAAGTTTTTCTACGTGTGGGCCACATAGTTAGCTTGATCTTCAAGCTAACAACATGTGTGGCACATGGCCAACTTGTTGACCACATTTCTAATCCAAAAAGTCAATTAAAGACACCTATGAAGTCAAAGCAGCGTCTAGGAAGTTTCTAGGAAGCTTCTATATTAAATATTATAGAATTAACTTACTTTTATCTACTTTTACTTACTTCTACCTATTTCTATATGTAATTATTAGCTTACATGATTATGGCCGTGACAAAATTATAAGCATATTTTAAAAGTATTCCATAAAAATACAAATTTTAAACATATTTGGTGCCAAAAGAATTACAAATTTGATGGTTGTGGAAAGTATAAGATTTGAATTTAGTAATTAAAGTAGGATGTATTTGTGGCCATACTAATCTTTTCTTTATAGAAATAATAGTAGCATTGTTGGAAGAAAAAATAATGGAAAGTACAAAGACAAAAATATAGATAATAAAAATGATGAGAAATTAGTTACAATATTTTAGTTGACGAAAAATCATACAAGAATTAGAATTTAAGTTTTTTGTTAGATTCTTAAAATAATAATGCCTTAAGCAAATATAACACATAAAAGTTAGACATAAATAAAGGTATTTCAATACTTATTATTAAATAAGAAAGATATATTCTTTGATTGGGCAAAGAAACAAATAAACCACAACAAGTCTATGAACCATCTGAGATTGAAACTCTGGTCTTAATTCCAAGGCAATTTAGAATTAAAAGATTAAAATTTTTTAATAATTAATAAACTTTCTATTTAGGTGACTTTGAAAGGTTTATAGAATGAATACCTCAGATCAACACCATAAGTACCTAGAAATAGTGGATATGTTTTAAAAAAAAAAAAAAAAACAATAAAACACGTAAATCTGAGTCTTATTTTTACTAAGCTATAAGCTGTATTTTTTTGTCTGTAAAAAAACGTCTTGTAACCTAAAATATTAAAAGTTGTTAGTTGGCTTGAAATTCCAACTAAGTTATAATTTAGCCATAAGAAAAAGTGATTTAGAAGCTACATTTAGCATGATGCAATTTGTTCATTTTTAAAAGAAAATAAATATTAGAATTTAAATTTCTAAAAATATAATAAAAAATCAATAGATAGAAAAGATTTGAAATAATATAATAATTTTTCATTTTTATTTTTTTATATATTGGCTTAAAATAGCTCCATCTAGTCTAATCCATTGTTGAAAAATCAATTTTGACAACTTAAAAAATAATATGCCAAAATAAAAGACTAATAGATCCAACAGTCTAATTTATAAATTCTTGAGTATAATTCTACCTTTGAACCATGTTAAAATCTAGATTTAGTACTTAAATCTAATCTTAAATCAATTATTGTATCTAAGATGTAAGAAGCCATTGCTGGAGTATTACAAGAAATGTTTTAGGATGACAACTTTTCTTGTAATAGAATAAAAGACATGTTTCCGCAGCAAGCATTGGCGGAGTTGCCACATCAGCAAACACAGAGAGAGAGAGAGAGAGAGAGAGAGAGAGAGAGTAGTGTGTGTGTTCAGACGCAGGGACTGGCACCGCGCCAGTGATGAACCCCTAACTCCATCGCCATAGCTCCGATCCTCCTCCTCCCCTACTTTGCTCAGCTCTGCTCTCATGGCCCCCTGCCTCTACAGTTATGGCTAGGTGCTCGGTTCCCTCTCCCTCACATTGCCTCCTCATGGTTCTGCTTCGAGCGTTGGTTCTCATGGCCACACATGTGCCCCGCTGGGCATGTGCTGTTCATGAGTTGAGCTTCAATGGGCACCGCGTTTTGTGTCGCGAATGGTGATGGGTTGTGTGCGAGCGGTGGTCGGTCCTCGAGTTTAATCGAGTGTGGTGCGTCTTTTTTGATTTCAGGATTTGTGCAGTGATTCTTGAAGGGGAGAATTTTGCAGAGGAGTCGAATTTGGGTTTGGGAGAATCTTGTAGAATTGGGCTGTTGATGCGAGGAGGGTCACTATGGTGATGGGCAGCAATGGAGGTGCTAAAATTCAGCCCATTGATAGGGCGGCAGTGCACCGCATCTGTTCAGGCCAGGTGGGTCGCGATTCGTGATGAGAAAACATTGCAGTTCTTCAACGTTGGTTTCGTTCTCATCGCCTCTGGAATCAAAGCGAAGTTGTGATCTCTAGTGTCTGTGGTTTCAGGGTGCTGAGAATAGGATGCAGGGCAAGGTTGTGATTGAATTTCGATGTGACTGCGGATGACTGACCTTCCACATGTTTGTCTGGAGGCTGAGGTGGATAGAGTGTTCAATGCCGCAGGTGGTGCTTGATTTGGCAACGGCGGTGAAGGAGCTCGTGGAGAATAGTCTCGATGCTGGAGCTACGAGTATCGAGATTCGCCTAAAGGAGTATGGGAGTGTGCTTATAGAAGTTGCTGACAATGGATCAGGGGTCTCACCAGAGAATTATCAGGTATGGCTTGAGTGCTGGTAGCCATTGCAGAATTTTCCCTGAGATTCACGAGATGAGGAAGTTGAATCTGTTTGCTGGCAGCAGATTGATCGTGGATTCTGATTTTTGTCATTTTGGCTTTCTCCTGTATACTCAACATAAATTCCCATCTGCAGGGTCTCACTTTGAAGTACCACACGTCCAAAATTTCTGATTTTTCAGACTTGCAAACCCTTACGTCATTTGGATTCCGAGGAGAGGCTTTGAGTTCGCTCTGTGCACTCTCAGATGTAAGTGTCACTACACGTGCTAAAGAGGAAGCTATCGGTGCCCGTCTGACGTATGACCATTCTGGTGTGCTCTCCTCTCAGGAGAGTGTAGCACGAGCGGTTGGTACCACTGTAGCAGTCGCCAACCTCTTTTCGCCCTTGCCTGTCAGGTTCAAGGAGTTCAAGCGCAACATACGGCGCGAGTACGGCCGTTTGCTGTCCGTATTACAGGTCACTGTTTTTTCATTATTCTGGACTTGATGGTAATTGCATTGATAATTCTATGTATTGCTGTATCACTAGCATCTGTCAATAGAATCAAGTGCTAAATCTCTATCGGAAACTAGATTTGGAACTTATTATTAGCTTCTACTGGGATTTCTTTGTTCTGGTGTATAATTGTTGTAGAGGTTGATCTGACTTTGCAGACCAGCATCATTTCTTTTTGGTTTCAGGGTTTAGGAAGATTCCGTTCCTTAACTTCGCGTTGTGATACCTTGTACACAGGCATACGCATTGATAGCCAAGGGCGTTCGAATATTTTGTACCAATCAGGTCGGGAAAAGTGGGCGGACGACGATTGTTCGAACACAAGGTAGTGGCTCAGTCAAAGACAACATAATTTCTGTGTTCGGTAGCAAGACAGCTGCATGTTTGGAGCCATTAAATATGGAGGTCTCCGATGGCTGCCTCGTGGAGGGATTCATCTCCAGGCCTGGTAGTGGTTGTGGCAGGTGCAATCCGTTTCTCAGACAATGAAGTTCTGATAAGTAATCGTTAATTTGCGGTTATCCATTTACTTGATGTCGGAAGGAGATTCTTAGCAATCTGTGGGGCCTGGTGAATGGATGACACACAGGGCTTCAGGTGACAGACAGTTTATTTATGTCAACGGCCGTCCTGTTGACCTTCCCAAAATCAACAAGTTGTTAAACGAGCTGTATGGGTCCTTTAACTCTCTTCAGAAACCGATGGCATTTTTGAATTTCATCCTGACACCCACAGCTTACGATGTGAACGTAACTCCTGACAAGCGGAAGGTATTTCTACACACTGAGAGTGCCTTGTTAACTGCCCTGAAGGAGGCCTTGGAGTGTGTATATACCCCTGATAAGTACACTTACACTGTCAACAACTTTGCTGATAAAGCTACTTCTTCCCAGCATGGAGTAAGCATTGTTGATTTTGAGACCCAGCCTCTCAGTCCAATTGGTCAGTTAGATCCTGAGGAGGATGATTTTGAGAATTTGGAAGAGAAAACTGCTACTGCAGAAGAAAGTGAAGTCGTTCCCATGCGTAGAGGTGGGCTTGGTGGAGGAGCAGTTCGTACCAGTTTGGGAACTCCCACAGCTTCTCCAGTTTCTGGACGGAAAGATGGATCCAAGAACGATTTTATTGATTTGGCGAATTTCAAATTGAAGGGGGCCAGAACTGTAGCAAGTGAGAAGGGGAATGTTATTACGCCTTCCGACGCTCTTGTGAATAATTTAAAGTTGAATAGGATCGCTCTCAAGACATCGCAGTCTCGTCTAACAGGTTTTGTTTCGACAAGCAAAAAGACTTCTTCTAAAAAAAGGTACTCTTTCTTCGTCCTGCAATGTTATTATTTTCCACGTCTGCAATACTCTTCAAACCAACTCATGTATCGCTTCACCTCCGAATCATGGTTATTCTAATACTGTCATGAACAAGTCTTTAAAAAGGCCCTCCCCCCTTCCTTAAATAAAAATTGTGGTACTTTCTTCATTTTAAAAACTGTATTTTAAACTAACGTCTCTCTGTGTCGTAGGGATGCGCCTGCACGTATGGGGGAGGATTTTGAAATGGAGGAAGAGGACAAGATGGTAACTTTTGAACCGAGCCTAGACGGAACTTCTGCAATGGAAGTTGAAGATATCACTTCTACAAAGAAAATTCAAGAAAAAGACCCCTGTTGTGCAGGTCACACTGAGCATGCTCTAACGCCAGCTGCTCCAAAGCTTAAACTTGTAATTGGTCTGAGTGAAAAGGAAGCAAGTTCTAGTAAAGTTGGTGGAGATGATGTCGATTTAGACAAAGATGATAATCACATCACTGGACTGGAAGATGAAGGTGTTGAGCTTTCACCGTTGAATAGAAGCATAGTTGATAAAGCTGTCGCGGCTAGCGCACAAGGTTAGTGTCCTGCACTTCTATCGAAGTCGTAATCTGCTTCAAGGTTCAATTCTTCGCTGGAGCCTGTAGGACATTTCGAATATCGGTTACTTAATCCCTCCTGTATATATCTGCTCGATGGTGGTGTTTACTGGGTTTATTGTGATCTTCTTGCAGTTGCAAATCAGCCTTCCGGCCCACCAGTGGACACGAGTGAAGTTTTATTTGATATTCATAAGCTTCGTAGGAAGAGTGAGCGTGGATTGTTGCATTTTGCGGATACTATGGCTCCGCAGGGAAAGTCTATCAAAAGAATGAGGTTAGTAAATTCTATGATTTAGATAACTCACATCAATGGAGATGGTTTCTGGTTCAGATGACTGCACCGTATAATTCTATTGCTCATTTTGTACGGAGTACTAAGAAAATGTTGCATGTTTACCCTTGCGCCCAGGGGCTTCACTGCCGCAACCTTGGAGGCTGCTCGTGTGACTGATGGTGGGGCTGGGAAGGAAGCAGCTCTGGTTGCTGCCACCAAAGAACTAGAACGTAGTTTCAATAAAGCTGACTTCAAGAATATGAAGGTTATCTTCTATAGTTCTTGTATGGTGGCAAATGGACGCTTGATAGGTTTAAGTTCAGGTCTCTTGTATGTGGGTTCTTTTTCATTAAGAAGTGACCAATCTGCTTGATTTATGTAACTTTTTTAATGATGTTCAGAGAACTTTGGTGCTATTGGCATTCTGATTTGACCCTAATACGTTCTAGGCCTTGGTGAGAGGAAGTTAATTCCATTTAAAATTTCTAAGCTTGCTTCATAAATATAGGTGGTTGGACAGTTCAATCTAGGATTCGTTCTCGCAAAGTTGGATCAGGATCTCTTCATTGTTGACCAGGTACTTGAATCCTTGCTGCACATGTCATTGTTGTGTACTATCTAGACGAAAGCCTTCATTTGTCTATTCACTTCTGATTCAGTGAGATCTTTCCGAAATAATTAGATTATGTTGGATTTAGAATTAACAAGGTTTGGTTGTATCGCGATTGCAACAGCATGCATCTGACGAAAAGTACAATTTTGAGCGTCTAACAAAGTCCACAATTCTGAACAAGCAACCCCTTCTGCGGTTCGTACTGATGATTCAACCTATTGACCTAATATTTTCTATTAACATGAAGTGTTGGCTAGCCAGATGGATGACTATTTGGGTGTAGTTGGCTCAAAATTTTAAAAAAGAGAAGAAAAAAAGAAAAGAAAAGAAAAGAAAAGAAAAGAAGTAGAAATCGGAAATCGATTTGGCATTTTGATGGATAGAAATTTATTGACGTCTCTTAGATATTAGGAGTCTAATGGGTACCTTTGCAATTTCCTGCAAAGCATGGAATTGATGCTGGAGTGTGGAAGTAGTTTCCTTGAACGGGAATAAAATGTACTTTCATGCAACTTATTATTTCTTGCTATTATAATTGCAGGCCTTTGTCTTTGGAGCTGTCAGCTGCAGAGGAGGTCATTGTTACTACTCACATTGAAACATTCAGGTTTGTTTGCGGATCTGTTAAATGATCAACGTTTGTAGTTCCGGAATGAGATGCAGAAACTCATACGAAGTGGAAATTGATGTGCTGTCAGAGCATGTAAAAGCATCCATTATTTGGGAGAGCAGCTCTTCTGTCTCTCCCCACTTTCAGCACTACATAGGAGTATCAGAGATCTCTGTTAGCTAAGACCTGGAAATGTCTTACCTTTGAATTCATTTGATTTTGTGAACTTTAATGGTCGTAACCAGATTTATTTTTTGGCAGACAAAATGGGTTTGATTTTGTGGAGAACGAGGATGCCCCTTTAGGAAGTCGGCTTTCACTTAGTGCTGTGCCATTCAGCCAGAATATCACATTCGGAATTGGAGGTACGATTGTACTTTTCCAGCAGAAGCATGCTGTTGATTGGCACCTGACTTATTCGCCTGAGTAAACCCAGAATGTATTTTACAATTCATGGTGCCTGCTTGCTTCTACCTGGAGTGAGCTTATTAGTCCAGTTTCCGGGTTTTTTTTCGAACTTTTCTTCAGCCTGTAAAGATGTACGTCGGTTGCAGATTTTGCCTAGTGCTGTCAAGTTGGATGTTGCAAAGTGTAGCTCAATGTCTACTTGCATGATGCAGATGTGCAGGAACTAGTAGGAATCTTGGCAAACGGAACGGCGCCAGTTGCTAAACCGAGTACTACTAATGGCACTGGATCACAAAATGGATCACAGAAGGGAGGACTTTTATCTGCTATACGTCCATCTCGGGTTCGAGGAATGTTAGCCTCTCGGGCTTGTAGATCTTCCATAATGATAGGCGACGCTCTGTGCAAAAAAGAGATGGAGAAGGTGGGTAACGTCTGTGATTTCTTCTCACGGTTGTTCGTGTGATTTTCAAGTTCCAGTTAGACTCATTATGATGTTTTACGTATTTGGCATCCTATAACGTGCTCCCCTTGCTTTTTGGTGTCTATGAATGTGACAGATTCTATGCCATTTGGCAGACCTGGATGCCCCTTGGAACTGTCCCCACGGTCGGCCAACCATGCGGCATTTGGCAGATCTTGAAGTGTTACGACAAAAGTAGCACAGTTTGATGCTACAATTGTCACTTACAATCAGGTTAGAATGTAAAAAAATAGCGATGGTTTATGAAATTAAATTCTCAGTCCATATTTAGATGGAATATCGTGAATATAGCATCTGCTCAATACACCAAGCCTTCCAATCTTTGCCCAAGTCTTGCCAAGTTGTGTGGTTTGAAAATCTGTAAGTTTCCTTCCCAAGTGAAAAAGAGTTTCTGTAAACATAGCGTAGCATAGCATGTCTCTGGTTTCTTTTACCTTGGGTCAAAACGATCATTCATTCTGACAGCGGGCAAGAAGTGTAAGGTGAATTAAACGCTCTTACCTTCAGGAGCCACAAGATAATAAATACTGAGGATGGATGTGAAAATGGTATCTAATCTCACTTGACAACAACTATGTAAATAGGATTAATATCGTCGACGGTTGATGTGCTGTTAATGGATAAAAAGATTAAAGAGTTTTCTCATCTTACTCCGTGGCGTGGTTTTGGGTTTAGCTCTTGCTGGACCTTCGGGTTTGTGATTTGCCCACGTTGATAAGATGCCGTGAAAATTTCGCTTGCGACGCTAGTCGGCACAACACGCGAACTGCAATTTCTTTGAAGTTCCTGAGCATCTTTCGAGAATCACTTCTCCTTGAGATTTGTTTTGTCTCGCGACCGTGGAAGTAGTATCAAAATAGCGCTTAGTCGTAATGAAGATGGAGTTCCCATGTGGAAATTTATATTTTGCTGGGGTTGTCATCGGTATTGCTACCTTCTGCAAGGCTGGTCAGGATGTCGGCGTTTTATGCATGAGGGTCGATGAAGGACTGAGAAGGTTTTAGGAATGACAATTGCTGGAGTTGGTTTCGTTGAAGTTGTTCGAGATTAAAAAGGAGCTGCGGCGTGGAGCGAGGAGCACTTGGGAATTTGATTTCCTAGAATGCCAGAAATCACTTGCAGATATTGAACCAAATTAGTTGAATTATAAACGGGAGTATCAACTGGCTTTACGGTCAACATTTCTCGCGGAGACGTGAAGCCTGTTCGGATTATGGATAGCAAAATTACGGTATATTTCTATGCTTGGTCACTGTGCCCCCCAGCTTCTGAATTGTCTAAATATAATACCCAGACACAAACACTGCTCACAATTCCTGTACCGTAGCAGAAATTGCACACCCTGCTTACTGACCAGAGCAACGAGACCGATATGTTCCGCAAGCAACTCTGACACCAAAAAGTTTCCCCAGTCGCAAGGAAGGCTACTGATGCACAGATGAAGAGAAACAACGACCAACCTGGACGAGTCACGGGGAACTTGCACAGTCACAACGATGGTGCCTTCAGTTATCGAAACTCGTCTACCAAGCTTCGAACGCATCACTGAAAGCACAACGTCCTATTCCCACATCCGAAACTTTTGGAGTTACTCTTAGAAACGAAGCGAGCCCCAAATCATGAAATATCAACTAGATATTTGTATTGTCACCAGCAAAGCGCACAATCACAATGTCTGGTGCGAGACCCTCACCCTAACCTGACCATCGCGCTCATCTGTCCCAAGCATCCCATCAGCTGGTAAAAGACGTAACACAATCAAATCGTCAAGGTCTGAGTCAGGAAATTGAGGAATTGTCCTGACCCACTTGCACAAATGTCCGCGCCCGCGATACGGCGCGGGAGGCAGAGGGACCCAACAACTGTGAGTCAGCGAGGACCCGGCACGAGGGACCCCTGTTGCGCCGGGTATGACTATGTGCGGGTTACAAAGGGCACTGCAGCTCATGGCGATCGATGCCTTGTGCAGCTTCGATGTGATGCTTGGATAAGGCGAGATCCTTCTCTTTCTCCTCCTCGACGTCATCTTCCTGACCCACATTTTTTATTACGTCTACGAGCCAAAGCCGATCAGCTCTCGGGGATATTCAAAAGCCCAGACGCAGTGGTTGGTTTGCCGGTAGCTCTCGCATTGCCCACTTGCATGATCAGTCGGTGTGCACGATTGCTACTGTGGTTACCGCTTGATTGTTTTGCTGGGATCGCGGTGAGTTGCAGGAGAGTGCATGTCTTCGAGTATTGCCCAATTTTTTGTTTCGCGAACAGCAACATAGAGAGTGAGTTATCCCGGGATGGAATCTCAAAAAGCATAATTTGCTGTGGTTTAGTGCATGTTGGGGAAGAATCTTTTGTTGTGTGCGTGAAGGGGGTGTGGTGACCTTGAAGGGACGATCGGTTAGGTTGTGGGTGACTATGCAACGTCTTTCAATCGTCTTTCGATTGGTTTGGTTAGATTTCGTTGGAATATTCATTGTTTTGTGGCTTCAGGAATTTTTCATCACGGGTTTCGATCTATTGCTGGGTTTGTGTCTGCTTGTGGATCGGGTATTCTTGCTATGATATATTGTGGAAATTAGGGGTTTCTTGAAGTAGGGGTTTATAGAATCTCGATATGTTTATTGGTGGCAGCATCGCAGCCATCCCTCAGTGACTCCTAGGAATCTCCTTGTAAGCAGAGTGATCATTCGTACGTTTTTTTGGATATTGGCTTTTAATGTTGATGATGATGTAAGGACGAGAACGTATTTGGTGCCAATAATACTGAGAGGTATGAGAACGGGATATGTTTATGTTTCTATGATTTGCTGTTCAAGGAAGTTTACACCTTACCCTTGACAAATTTGATAAGACTTTTAAAATGAAGCCCTTGATATTTGACTTGCGTGAACTGAATTATCGAGTACTGGAGCGTCTACTTTAATCCTATGTCTTAGTTTTTATTGTCTGCATCTTTTGTTGCTGCAACTTGATACCAACACCTTTATGCCCTCGTCAGTCATGAAAGATAATTCACTGACTGAGCAACAGTGGATTATGCAGATTTCTTCAGTGATGTGCTTATTTTTTAAGCACCTTTGCAGCTCTCAACGACAATTATTGTTAAACTCAAATTGCTTACAACCCCAGTCTCTTTTTTCAAGCGGTTGAACAGCCATGGTGAGGATCATGTTTGTCCGTGCTTTCACCTCAGGCTCTCATGCCCTGCTGAAGCATGGAGTAAGGTCTCGAGCTCAACCCCTGAAATGCGTAACAGTTGATGTTACAGGGACGTTAATGGGGTATAAGGGGGTATTGGGGGATTACTACTGCATGGCTGCCAAGCGGTCCGGGTTGCCATGCCCAGATTATGAGCGAATGCATCAGGGCTTCAAGGTCGCGTACAAGGAAATGGACACGTTGTACCCGTGCTTTGGGAAGCTACACAATATTTCAAACCAGGAGTGGTGGCGGACATGTGTTAGAAAGGCCTTCTGTGAGGTACGATCTCATCTTAGTCGCGACCCTCTAGAGTGCTGTGTAGTTTATATGTGCCACGATGAATCCCAATTATTGTGCATGTTCGTGTTCATAGTTTCGGCCTCATGATTGCAGGTTTGCCTTCGAAGAACAATTATGAACTAAAATTGTATGGAATGTCTCAGACTTTTTTGAAATTCGCTGCAAGATCTTTAGGCTTTTTGTGATTCTTAAGCATAAATTTTGACCTCTAAACCGTTGTTGTATTAAATAGGCTGGTTATGATTACACCGACAAAGAATTTGATGCTGTGTTTAAGCGCATCTATGGAATCTTTGGGTCTGCAGCGCCATACGAAGTATTTGAAGACGCAAAACCCTTTTTGAGATGGGTACGAGCGCAGGGTATCGTGGTCGGAGTTCTGAGTAATGCATCTTACAGATATCGCGATGACATCCTACCACAATTAGGACTTCGCCAGGTCAGATTCCTTAATCTGCTGTTGTTTCTCCTTTACGTGTGCTGAACAGCTGAAGTATCGGCATATTCACGGAGTTGAGTACTAATGGATGTGGTTCAATGCTACAAAACGTATTCACTGTTGGGACTTCTAGCCTTAATTTCGCATTTTTTGTTTTCAGCCAGCGAATTCCTCATTTTCCCCTGCCCTCACAAGTTAATGGACTCGGCCTTTTTAATATTATCTACACTAAGATTTCAACCTTTGGGCCTTGGACTTCCGTCAGCTAGTCCTTGGCTTATTAAGTACGTTTCACATAATTACTTGTAAAACAGCAGAAGTGCCTCTCTACTCCAGGATGTGGTTCAGCTGACCATTTCAAACTCGTAATTCAAGATGTTCCTGACAAGTAAAAATCGATGGTGGGTTGCAACAGGGAGAAGAGTGGGACTTTGGTGTTTTTTCTGGTATTGAAGGCGTTGAGAAGCCTAATCCCGAAATTTTTAAGATTGCATTGTCGAGAGCTGGGGACAACATCCTTCCAGAGCAAGCGCTGCACATTGGGGACAGTCTCAGAAAGGATTTCGTTCCTGCTGCTGCCCTGGGCATGCATGCGCTGCTCCTGAACCGCTTTGACTCAAAGGAGGCGCGTGCAGCGAAGGAGAATGGAGTGCTTGTGGTGACCGACCTTCATCAATGCCAGGATTATATCACCAGACTTCAAGAGGAAGCTAAAACAAGCGTCCTTTTGTGAACATCACTTTTCAGCCCATTTTGCGTCTACTCCCTTTTCAATCAAACCCAGCCTTTCGAATAGAGGGATACACCCTGAGGCTGTTCACACTGCATATGAAGATACACCCAAGGGGCTATTTTACAACTTCATGCGGAGTACCGTTCCTCACTCATAAGTAGCAAAACACTAAGATCTTCCTTATACAGTTTGCCACAGAGGCTTGTGAGTCGCTTGAATTTTTTGTGAGAAAGGTATGTTGACATCGTTCATCACTTATCCAGCAGAGCGGGCTGTCATCTCAAGCTGGCAAAGGATAGGAATAGTGCATTCCGTGTATTGCGACCTTTAAAAAATGACCTTCCCTGCATTTAGGGTCTATCAACCCCTCAATCTATTCTCCTGATTTTGCCACAAAACATCCAAGTGCCATGATATGTGGAATACAATTTTTTAATCGGATTTCCAATGAGAAAAAAAAACAAAAAACAAAAAACAAATACTTGAGCCTGACCTTTGTTTTGAATATTATGGTTGAATAATACAATTTATAATCCTCATTTCGAGATTTAGCATAATTGAAGAGGACATTTTAGTGTTACCAATGAATCTGGTACGATTGTTAAATGATTCTTTTAACGAGATGGGGAAAATGCTAAGATTTTGGTTTTCTTAAACAGAGATTTCTTTCAGTACAACTTGTAGGACAGAAAGCGGCAGAGGTCAGATTTTGCCCTTTTGCCTTTTCTTTTTCCACTGTTCAGTTTATGGAAGAATTTTGCCTCCAGTGAGACATAAAATTGATCCCGTCTAAATGTAATTGTTTCTGTAAAAAAATTAATCCATTCTGTTTATGTTCAAAGTTTAACAATATATGTTTATTGAGTCACATCTAATGCTACGAAATGAGAGATCACTGTATCTTGCATTTAATTCATTATGTATAATGGAGAAATGGAGAATATCACTACAAGCAGGTATGGGCCGTTAAATCACTGCATGTCAAAGAGTTGCTATGGATACCCAAATCATCTCCCTAGATAGACGAATTTAAAAGAACAGCCATGATTGGCAAGCAAAAATATATGCAACATTATTGATTTTTTTTTTTTTTTTTTTTTTTTTTTTTTCTTATGACTTTACTTGACTTTAAATTGTTGCAAATCCAAAGGCTACTGTTAAAAAATAAACTGGAGGTGCTTTAGAGGATTGCCTAGTCTATATATATATATATATATATTTTTATTATCTTGTTTTTGTGAGCTTCCTCTTTTATATTAAAGTTCTCTAACTTTCTCCTCTTTAGTCTTTCACTTTCATTTGTCTTTAGTTTGATGCATTAACATTTAAAAACATTTTAGTGTATTCAAGACTTGAACTTCTTTAGTTTTCTTTTTGTATGTTAACGTCCATAATCCTTGAAACCACATTTAAAGTAATAATAAGGTTTTTTTCTAATTGGGTTGCTAATTGCATCAAAAAGTCATTTGAATCATGTTGAAGTCAAAATATAATTCTTAACTCCAAGTAGTTAAACTTTAGAAATAGAAATCATAAAATAAATACAATTCAGATTGTGAACAAACATTTGGGTAACATTGACATTGAACATAGTTGATGTTGATAAGCTGGTGAGCATTAACACATAAATCTATGTCTGTTGAAAGTGGTCATGAATCCCTTTGTTATGGTCCAATTATATTCCCACATAAAGATACTCGAAAAAGAAAAATAGGGCAAGAAAAATCCCCATATGCTTTAAAAGATCAACAGTGGTTTACATAATCGAAAGAAAACCAACAAAAACAAACAAACTCACAAAACAATTCTGGCACACTGAGGTAACCAAGTCTGATGCTTGCATTTTCATCTTGCTCACATGAACTTGCAACTAAAGTAGAGACTGTCACCAGCTGATTTTGTTTGGGGCCTCAACCTTCTTGTGCTGCATTAAAGGATGAAACCTAATCCCTGCGTCAAAACCATTCTCACAGTGGCCGTATCTAATTCTTTTGAGAAAGCTTGTTCAATGGGATGCAGAGTGGGTGGTTCAAAAATGCAAGCAAGGAATTGTAACATGTTCTATGACGTCCTCCAGTCCTATTATGCATTCCAACCATAGAGGGTAATCGGACTCTTCAGCATCCCAGCAACACACCCATTTGAAGACAACCAACTATAAAAATATCACAAACTGTTTACCTTACTTTACATCACAAAGAAAGCAATAGCAATTTGGCATACTTCAGTTCACATTGTCCATAGTAAACCCACGATGCAGTCAGATGTCCACCGTTTAGAGCATACCGCTAAACCCAGCACTCTGGAATAAGGGTTTAACCCAGTGCTGGATTAAACGATGTGTTCGATTGACTGAAACAGTATCAACTTTCAAGATCATGCAGTAGAACTGTCAATTTTTCGGTCGAGTGAAGAGACTCCACTCTTTCGTGCCTCAAGTACAAACAAACATCTTCTTCCAACCTCTTACACTTCCTGCGTCAGACTCTTATTCCTCGCAGGTGCGCACTTTGTAAAACTCTAGTTTAACACGATGATGCACATCTTCAGCAATTATTTAGAAATCTCTGAAGCTCATCCGAGGGTCTTCCCCTCTCCCCCTACTACGACCGCGACCACGGCGACCCCGCCCTCTACCCCTACCCCTCCCTCTCCCTCTCCCAGACCTACTGAAAAATGATCTACCATGCTTTACCTCTACAAGTGAATATAGCAGTTCGTCACAAAGAAGGCATGCTTTGTGTAGAGTGGCTCCATTTGACAGGGGGGTTGAATTTTTATTGAAATTGACCTGCATTCAGAAAAGCAGAAATCAGTGTCTTAAATTCACAAGTTCATGGTGAACTAAAGTTCTAACCAAAACAATGAAGGTTTGGAATGTAAGGCCATACTCAGCTGGAAAATGTTTGTAAATTCATCATACTTGCCAATGCCAACATAATTCACACTATGCCCCCAAGGACGCTTACACTTGCATTACACTACACATAAGTTGACAACCTCCTTATTTTGAATAGCAAGGTCTCAGAATAAACCCCAATAAACAGAAATGCAGTTCAAGGACGTAACGAGGAAATGATCACACCTCCAATAGCGCAGAACCACACTCTTCGCACCGTTCTTGACAAACTGCAATTTTATGTGCATTGTGCGGAAGATAGACAAGATTGCTGCATTTGTTGCAGTCAAGCCTCCATTTGGGGGCACTCACAGGATCAAGAACTAGGGTGCCGTCGCATTCAGGACATGCACATACTCCTTGTTGAATCATTGAATTTCGACAAGTGGGATGAGGACATAATGTGCAAGGCATTCCACCCTTCCCAACATGTTTCCCTGGTTCCTTAGAGAATCCTACTCCACCAAAAAGTTTTTCTGCTCCCTCGAAGGGAGGATTATTGTAACAATAAGGACAAAGGGGATATGATTTTCCATCAGGACCCGCGAGGGAGAAGAGCACCAGCTCGAAGTTGTCAAGAGGGCAAGTGATCTCCTTGTACAGCTGCAGATTAAATATGGGTCCCTTGAGTCTAGCGATACCATGAATCACATGAAAATAATAAAAAATAGCACCACGATGAACATCGCCACTTCAGTACACTGTCGTTTGCATTTTAGCATTGAGAACAAATTTTATAAGCATAGAACAACTAAAGTAACAATGGACTAAATTGCCCAATTTGTGGTGTGGGTAATTTCTGCATGCCCACACATTTTCAGCAGCCTACGTCGAGCTCAGTTGAACTCGTCAAACACGTTGAAAACATACCTTGATGTGGCCATTCTGGGGGAGGGCATGCACTTCTTCACATGAGGGACAATAAAGCCGTGATGGTCGCATAGCAATGTACTTCATGTAACGCAAACACTTTCCGCATTTGCTCAACGGCTTTCCAGAGTCGGCCAAAGGAGAAAACTGGGCCTCAAAAAGTGTGTCCATTATCTCTATCTGCAAGCATGATCAACACACGAGAACGTCACTTCGAAATGCAGGCGTTATTTTTAGTTTGCTATGACTTGTCTAAATATTAATTTCAGGCCTGAAGCCAAAAGATTAAGGAGAATGCAGCCAATAGATTTTGCATAGAAGAGAATGCTCTGAAATTGCCATAATACTCTCTGCACGAGGTTACCTGAGCAACGAAGTAGGCAAACTTAGCAGCAAACTCTTGCAAGACATGCCGTACCACCCGAGAGTACTCTGCCTGCCCCTTAGCGATGAGTGTTATTTGTTTCTCAATGAAAGCACGAATATCAGGGAGGCAAAGATCCACATCAATTACTTGGTATCCGCGTACAAGCGTGATACCCAATGGTGTTGGCACCAATCGTCTACCTGATTGTACCTGCAAACACACGAACACATTTTACCATCAAAATTATTCGTAAATAAGAGGCATCCTTGAATCAGTGACATTCTTGAATCAAGATAAGTTTTGTTTCATGTGGAAATGCATGTGCATAAATACCCAAAAAAAGAAATTATGTTGCGTTGAACAAACAGAAAACCCAGGATGAATAAATCCTTTACACAATGGTTACAGAATATGCATAGATACTGCACTCGATTTGAAAGACAAGTGGGCATCATTTCACCTGTGCATAATTACGCTCACAGATGTTATTGATGTGCACTGAAATGGACGCATCAGTGCCTATGCCATGCTTTTCCATTAGAGTTATGAGTTCACTTTCAGTTAAATAATCTGGAGCTGAAGTTCGCCCCTGCACATCCAAATAGACCAATGCTTTCAACAAACCAATGCTGCATGAGGACCAGGTATTTAAGACATGCAGGGCAGAAGAACATTTATGGTGCATACAATGCTCGTCGTTCAGCGAAAACTACCTCTCTTCAATCCTAAGAATATTTGATGAGAGAACTACTTATTTTTCTGTGAACCAGGATAGTTTCGTAGAAGTCAAGAAATCAGAAAGCACATCGCACAACAGAAAACACCCCTCAAATCCATATCAAATTGATTGTGGCAGTTGGTTGCTCAAGTAGCATTGAAAAACACACCTGGTAAAGTTCCACATCCGTCATTGGAATTAATTCTCCAGCAGAAATAAGCGGCAAACTTTCATCTGAAACAGCAAGCCATGGCATCACAGCAGTGAACCCCGCCGAGGTTACTGTTCGCCCGCTTGCAAAGAACTTCTCACCTCCAGCAGTAAAAGTGATCTTCGTTCTGGCAACGTACAAGATACAGACGAAGATGAAGCAGAGTATACTTGACAACAAACTACACCAAAAACATTCCAAATGCAACCAAAAAAACAAAAAGAGATTATCTCACCTTGTGTATTTGCAATCAGGGCTCACACTACCGAGAAAATGCCGCGTAACATACTCATACAATCTCCACGAGTCCCCTCCTCCTAACTCTGACTCTGTCGCTGATCTAGTGGGGGTGATGGGAGGATGGTCACCTACATCAACTCCAGACTTAGGAGGATGAGGGCCCAAGGACATCAACGAGGAAGCATAGTCTCCCCAAATCGGATGATTTCTATGTATAGAAAGAGCCTCACGGATATCATAGCTGGCTGGATATGCTGTGCTCTCTGTTCGAGGATAACTGCACCAGAAAATGTTTTTGCCATGCATAGCACATGTATTCAGGACTCAGGTGATAGAAGTACCTACCCTCATAGCAAATAAGAGGGCTTTCTTAAAAGGGTAAAAACACAAAGCAGAGAAGCAACGTTCAACTACCAAGACATAAGTACTACAAATTATAGCTTTGCCACATCCAAGTTGTAAAACAATACTTAACAGATTTGTAGAAGAGCAGCAGTAAATACCTCAAATAACCTTGTGTATAAAGGCGCTCAGCAATTTGCATGGTATGATGTGGTCCCATATTAAGTGCACTCGATGCCACCTACACCGAATATCCAGAGGTCAGACAATCGACATCTAAGAAAAACATACAAGGGGCCTACCGTTCATCTCATTCATATGTGCGGTTGGGGAGTGCTGAAAAAGTTACCTTGAGCATGTCTACAGTATTAAGGCCATGTGGACGGGTCTTTCGATCCTCTTTCTTTACGACGTCGGCCACGCGCACTGATTTAGCATCCAACACCAGTTTCTGAAAGAGCATTGCAACCTGCAGCATACGTATGCTATATATCACATTATAGGAACATTCTGAACATGACGAAGCAGCTCAATGCGTAATTTTCTTCCTACATCACCATGCACTGAGCGAGCAAAATGGAATGATCAACTGGATTCACCATTTAAGCTGAAAGAGATAAGATACGAAATAGGCAAATGATCAGTATCTAAGGATAAGGTACATAAGATGGCATTAGCTCACGCATTATTGAGCATAATCAGCTGATGAAAAACTGAATCAAAGACAACCACCGAACTCACTCTCATCTTGTAAACATCGACAGAGACAAACAGACATTACAAACCTCACGATCAAAAAGGCGGTTACGATCCCATTCCAGCATCAATTGATGTCCTCCTTTGCTTAGGTGAGGTCTCACAACCCAAAAAGGCTGGGGAACGAAGGTTGTGATGCGGAGGTGGCGTTCCACACAGAATCCGAGTGTCGGGGTTTGACAAGGACCATACCTGATTCAGTACCCAAATACGTGAGTTCACTCAACCGACTTTATCCACATTTAGGATTGCAACTTTATTACTCATTTTGTTACATAAAGCTGTGTTGTTATTGAAAGTCAAGCGTCATTGCCCGGATCATTTTAGTTGAAACTTTTACACAGCACGTCTACCTTTTGCTTATATAATTCCCTCAGCACTGGCGCATTGAACAAAGAACGTAAAAGAAGTGGGATTTACCCAGGAAACGTACGAGATAACACTAGAGTCAAGGTTGCCGTATTTCCCTTGAAAGTAGCGAGTCTGAAAGCGTGTAAATGCTACACCAACTTTCAGGTCTATTTCCTGACGCGCGTCCACTGATAAAGACTCATCTTTATTGGGTTCGCCAAGGGTGTTCATTGCAACTCGAACGTCCTTCTCACTGATAGCTGAAAATTTGGCTCGGAAAACTTGCTGTCCAGGTAACTTTCTCAACACTGGAACAGCACTCTCCATCACTGAAACCAAAAATAGGGCACTAAGGTAAGCATGCATTTGAATGGAAATGAAGTAAGCAAGCTTCACCAACATTTCAAACATACGCCACCGCATGCCGTGAAATGTGTGCAAAACATGCAACAATATAAACCGACAAAATTGTTAGCAAATGAGCTGCAACAGCCACCACCTCTCAAGCACCTCATCGTCAAAAGATATCCACTGAATTAAAATTAACTTAGATTGCCTTTGTGCTGCACACTAAAGTCCACGACTCAAATCATCTGCACCCTAATTAAAGAGTTCCGACATCAATGTACACACTACCTTCGAAGCAAATATTTTCTCCTTCCCGGTCACAATCAAGCCATAGCACGAGGTAATCACAACCACGTGCCTCTTGTTGCAGATGTTTGCACACATGAGCCTACAGTTTCAAAAAAATACAACTTAGAACTGAAAATTTCAAGCAGACATCTTGAACAGCACGCACCAGAAACATGGTGTGTATGACGACTTTAAAGACTGCTTGAAAAAGGTAGGTACTACGTTTGCTTAATGAACAATAACAAAAATCGGATTTAGAATACAGATTTGCATATCGATAGATCTCGTGTTCCAATTTCGGGATTTAACAACTTTATTGACAAAAAGAGAATCGTACCTTAGGATTGGACTCATTTTTTATTGTTGGTGCCTCAAACAGCTCAAAAGGGTCAGTGGTATCCCAACTCTGGTACTTTGGAGGAAAATCTATGCTGTTACAAGAACAGAAGTAATTGATTGTAAATACTCACGTGTACGACTTACAATTCATAACTCATAAGCCTGAACTACACAGATATCAGCATCTAAACGACTCACACGACTAATCTACCTGCCAACTTGGAAAAAGAATCCTGGTTAACAAATAAGGTAGGCAGCACGTAGAAAGACGAATAGCCACTATCCATTGTCAAAAAGAAGAAGCAGGTAAGCACCTGAGAACGTGACCAATCACTGACGTAACCTTAAAGCGGACAGATGTTCCTCTGAAACTCCCATCAAACTCATGAACCTCCAAGTAAGATCGCCTACTTGACATCTGTTCCACAACAGCTTGTAAGTGTCTGTGCCTTGATGAAAGTCAGAACTAATTGAGCACGCAAAAATAAACACATGTAAACCCCTGCTTGCTGTACAATGTAATGCCATGAGAACTGAAAACATAACGCATTTTGAGCAGCATCGGAACAGGATAACACTGAAATGCATCTAAATAAAGATCTAGCTCTAGTAAATTTTTAATTTTCAAACTCTACATTGTGACACATCAACCAACCAGCCAGCCAGAAAATATTCCGGTTGTGCCCGGGACACTATCCAACTGTTGAAGACTAAAAGCATCATCCGAAACATAACAGAAACCACACTAATGGTTTCTATCACAAAATCAGTGTTGCTCGGAGAGAGGATGATGATCTGACTTGGATAAACATCTAATGAAAGTAGTATCGACCAGACCATAAAATCCCACTGCGTATGAGGCACCTTCAAGCTTTCTTATCAAGGCATTGCCTCGAACTCTCCAGAAAAGTTCAATGCCACGGAAGACAAGCTGAAGGTGTAGAAACTAATAATAAACCACGCACCTAATCAATCATAGAAATTAGGCTCAAGCAGCAATACCCGGCCATGTGAAAGAAAATTAGCGATCGACAGAGCAATACTGGGCTTCTCCGCCACCTGATTTCAAACAAACAACACCCTTAAGGAAATTCTGCACGAAAAACTCTCCAACCAAAAACAATGAAACTACTCTTTCAATCCAACTTGGTCGCCACTCCGTCTGATAACTTCAACAATTCTCAAAACTTCCAAAACTTCTGAAGACGATAAACCTCCCAAGGGAAAATTCCATGAGTTCTACGAAACACAGACCATAAGCACCGACGGCGCCATGGTGAGCAGCCCGACTGCTAGAAGACCTTCAAAATCGTCGTCAAAAATTTCAGATCGTAATCAAAACCATCGAGAATCGCGTGCTCAGCTTCGCAATTCTTCGACGAGCCAGCGCTCGAATAGTCTTCTAGGGCTTCTCACGCTCATCGACGAGACTTCCACAAGACGACGAGGTTTTCTGTCGTCGACGAACTATCATCCCACCAGAAAAACCAGAAAACCCACGTGGCATAGCTGACGTGGTTTCTAGGATTTTTTATCTCCTTCCCCGTATGGATGTAATAAGCGTTCTATTCATCCATCTCGAGTCTTCGGAGGGTTCAGTTTCGGGAGCTCGATGTTGGGCTACTGCTGTTAGGCTGATCTTCAAATAGTTGCAAAGCTTGCTGAATTCAGTCTTGTAAGTTCTGATTGGGTTTGTGGGAGAGACGGCCAAGGCTGCCTCGATGGTTTTTTCCAGTTTTTTCTGTTCTCGAAGTCCACAGCCGTGTCTGCAGCTTCCACTGTCTCCAGGAGCAGCCAGTCAGAAGATTTCGCGCATGTCTTGGTTGCTTTACCTTCTCCAGCTCCATAGATTGAAAGAGTAGATTACGACCCCCGTGTTCGTGATTTCCTTGACTTAGAAGCAAATGAGGGCAGTGACGGCAGCTCTTGTTCGACTTTACAGTTTGGCAATCTGGATCAGCTTTTGTGTTTCTATACACACTACTATTGGTGTGTTTGATTTACTTTCTTAATGCAGGCAGGTCATAAGAAATAGAAAAATTAAGGTTTTTTTGGTTGAGATTTTTTTCATGTGTCCTCAAGCAAGTACCTAAACATGTTATAGACTGACCCAGGTTGTAAGATGCACCCATCTCTTGCAAAAGATGTAAAATTGCACCAATCAGAAGAAATTTTAGGTATATGCAACAATGTTCATGTTTATAGATGAGATAGAGACTACAAGAGATATATATATATAATTTTTTAGCATTTAATTGGTTTATAGATTATTTGTATTTAATAAGATATAGATTGATTAATATAATCATGTATGATTTTTAATATTTAATAATTTTCATCCAATCTTTATATTATACTTAATTAAAATTCATGTAATAATTAAAATATTATTCCTATTTTAGCACCTAAAAGATAAAGAAATTAGATTTGGGCATTTTACAATTTGGACAAGATTCCATAAATGCAATATTTTTTTGGAATTTTTGAAACTTTTTAGGTAGAAAGTAAGTTTAAGAAATATGCAACAAGCTAGTACATGTAAGATTCCAAAATTTCTTTCATAAGTTCTGGGATTTTAAGATTGAAAACTTAAAATCAAGCATGATATCAGCCATTATCAGTGCCATAAAAATTGCCTAAAATTGCTCGTAGACTAATTGCCTCAAAACTTTAATACAGCACACAAAAAAAAAAAAAAAAAAAAAAAAAAAATGAAAATGAAATATTTTACATATAAAAGAAGCATTCAATTATTTGTTCATCATTTTTTTAATATCAAAATCAACCTATAAATGCATTAGGCATCTATTTGTAAAAAAAATTGAACATATAAATCAAAAAGAAATGCTTGTAATTTACTAAGGTATTGGATGTCTTCTCATTTCAACTTTATTTTTGATCTTCAAAATCAATAGCTCTTTTTTGAACTATGTACTTATTCTTAAAATATATAAAAATGTTGAAAACTAAGTTAATTTTTAGTGTACAAAAAATCATTTTAATCTAATAAGAAAAATTCTGAAAATTGTAAAAACTCTTACTGACCATTAAAATCTAACTTCTAAGACCTTAACTTACTTGATTTTTAATTACTTTTGATCTTATCATTCAATTAAGCTAAATTTGACAACATCTAATATAATTACGTCCACAAATATAAAAAAGTTCACATATAGATTTGCTACAAAATTCATAAAATTTATTATATATATATATATATATATATATATATATATTATTTTTAAATTTAGAAGTATAATGAGATTTAGAAGAATTGTTCTTGATATCATAAATAAGAGGATTAGAAAACATACTCAATTGTACTTACCTGAAAATTGTTGAATCAATAATCAATATTCATTTCATTGCTTAAATATAAAAATTTCTTTGGTTTCAAGAAGATTGCTCTTTATTAATCAAAAGTTGCATCTCCTTCTTTTGGTATAAGATAAGAATGTCTAGAAAGGGCATTTGACAAACCTTGTTATTTTCTTGATTGATAAAAGATCTTGAAATCAAATCTTAATAAAGACATGATCCAATGGTCTTAGCAAACAATTCAAAGCATGTGTTGACATGAAATATATGAAATTCTTATCATCTACATATATAATGGCTAGATTATAAGAATCTTTTAGATAATGATGCCATTTTAAAAATAAATCCATAATTACTAAAAGTTCTTTAATGTGGATTTTGTAGTTGATTTTTGTTGGTAAAAAGTTTTTAGAATGAAAAGCCAATAAATAGAATTTGTTATTTGTCTCTTTTGTAACAATATTCTATCTAAAACAAAGTCTAATACATCTATTTTATAAAAAATAGCTTAGAGAAGTTGATGCAATATAAGATTGGTGCAAAAATAATAATTATCTTCAAAGTTTCAAAGAATGCTTCAATTTCTTTATCCTACTCAAGTTTGTCTTTACAATTCAAATATGTAAGTGGAGTTGTGACTTGAGTAAAATTCTTAATGAAGATCATCTAATAATTAGAAAATTTCAAAAAAAATCATATATTTTTTATTATTCTTGAACTCTATCAATCCATGATAGTTTAAACTTTCTTAAGATCCATTATAAAGCTATTATTTAAAATGATGTATCCTAAAAAGTCAACTTCAATAATACAAAATACATACTTTTTTATCTTCGCATTTAATCCTATATCTCTAAATTTTTGTAATACACAATGAATATGAAGTTTATATTTTTTTATATTCTTAGAATAGATTAAGATATTTTTGAAGTAAAAAATAATAAAATCATCGAAAAATTCTTTAAAAATATCATTTATTAGATGTTAAAAAATAGTTGGTGTATTTGTAAGTCTAAAAGATATGATATTATTTTCAAAATATCCATATCTAATACAAAACACAGTCTTTTTTTTATCTCTTTATTTAATGCATATCAAGTAATATGCTTTTTGTAAATTTGTTTTTATGTACAACTTTGTTTGATTGAGTTGATCAAAAAATCTTGAAATCAAAGATAAAAGAAATCTATTTTTAATGGTCATTTTGTTGGATCTTTGATAATCCACACATATCTATAATGATTTTTCTTTCTTCTTCTTAAATAAGATTGGAGCTTCTATAAGAGATTTAGAATATCGAATGAAGTTCTTAACTAAATTTTCATCAATGTAATCTTTGAGTGCAGCCAACTTGTCCTATAATAAGCTATAGATTGATCTAAATGGTGATTGAGCTCTTTCTCGAAGATCAATTGGATGATTATAAAGACAATATTCTATAAGAATATTTATATTTTTTTTTTCAAAATATCTTGATAATCTTAATATTAACTTTGAATGCTACTTAAAGTTTTTTTACCATGAAAAATAGATATAGTGTATATAGCAAAAGATGACTCTTCTTTTGTAGCATGCATAATAGCTCTTCTATCTATTAATAAGAATTTGATTATATTGAATTTATGAATTTTTACTTTATTAATAAAATTTAAGATTAAATTGTACAAAAAAATAAGATTATAAGAAATTTAGACTATTTGAGGATTATACTTTTTTAGCCATGATAATCTAAAGATGTAATATTATTAAATATTATCAAGCTATTATAATCTTTAAATTCTATATTTTAAAAAATAATTTTATGGATTTATTTTATGAAAATAATGACCAACCATCTATGATCTCTATATGCATAAATTTAATTTTTTTAACTAACAATATTTTTTGATTTTTTTAACAAAGTCTTTATTTACAAAACAAATAGAGGCTCTTAAATCTAATAAGGCAAAGATTTTGTGATTTTTTGATCTTAAATCAACTACTATTGTAAAGCAAGGTAAAAGATTTAAGAAAAGAATAAGACCTTTATTGGGTGTTATATAAGATTTTAGCCGCACAATCCTTAATATAATTAGAGAGAAATATTTTTGAATACTTTATTATCTTTAATAAGCATATTTTTTATTTTATAACTATATTAATCCTTTGGAAAACATTGAGCAATGTGTTTAGATTATCTATAATACAAGCACAAACCTTTTTGACAACTTTGAGTCTTTTTCTTCCTTTGTGAGAGGTTTAAGATATATCATGTCAGTTTGTATAAGTTTTATCTTTGATAAATAAGCTTCAAATAACTTAGAAGATGTCGTTATGACTTAACTTGTACTTCTCCAATCAAACCTTTATTATTGGCGTCTTTCAAAGAGACAATTGTCACAAATAATAGATTAAGCAATAATTATTTTAATAAGTTTGCTGTCAATATTGTGAAGTAATAAGTCTTTAAAATTATCTTTCAATTCATATCAAAATTGATTTATTAAAGCTTTGTAATTCCAATCCACATTCTAAGCAAGTTTTTGGAATTCCACATCATATATATAAAGATGAGAATTTGTTCTCTATTTGCCAAAGATATAAATTTTTAACAAATAAAAATTTTATATAGTTTTGTGTTATTTGAAAAGAATAGATAATCATTAAAAACTAATATAATATTAAAATTGGAATGGCTATTGCTAAAGACAAGAATACTAGAAAGTCTTGAAAGCATATTAAAAACTAAAAAGGCATTGATAAGAGTGAAAAAGGCTTCATTCTTATATCCATATATACTATTTAATTAAAATTTATATAAAAATATTCTATAAAATCTCGAATATATATTTAACTTATGAAACACATGTATTACTTGCAAAATAAGTTTCTTACATATGTACCACATGGTTAGCTTGTATTACAAGCAATCAACATGTGTCATACAAAACTAATTTTTTAGCTAAGTTTTTAATCTATCAATCCACTACAAACATGTGTAAAGTCAAACCTGCATTTATAAAGCTTCTAAAAAGCTTAGCCATAAGATATTATCAAATTAATTTATTTTTTACCTACTACTACTTATTTATATTATATAAATAATTATTAAAGTAAA